AATATTCTGGAATATCTATTACTATATATATATTAACGGCTCATTAGTTTTTTATCCAATATTTCCATTCTTGTGCTTTTACTATTTCCTTGGCACCGTCTGCAAGCCCTTCGATAACTAAAGTGCATGACATATACTCTGTTTCGTGCGGCCTTGATAATATTATGTCTTGCAAAACTAAGCCTCTTCTAACCAAGTCTTGGAGCGCAAATTCTGCAAGTTCGACGGTACTCAATAACTTTGGTTTTTTTGATTTTTTAATATCTTGTTTATCATAAAATTCTTCTAACTGTTGATATCCAAATTTTCTCATTCTAGCTGCATTCGATCTCCTGAATACTCCTATAACATCGGCAGGTATGATTTGGTGATCATAAGTTGTGGTTAAAACTTCTACGACATGTAACAGTTCCTCAATATCGGGTGTTACATTTTTGATAGTTGGGCTATCTTTGATGCGACGATGACAATTATCACATTTAGTACATTCACTGGGTTCTTTGTCTCCACTCCAAGCATGATATTTTGTAAGTGTTTTCATTCGACATTCGTATTTTGTAGCACAAAAAAAGATCATCTCAAATATATCCCTTTTTTTTTAAAAAAGATATACTTGGTCGGCTGTTTCAGGTAGCATAGAATCTTTTGGCTTACTAGGATAGTTTGAGCTACTTTAGTTAGTTAATGTTTGATCGCATTTACATATTCAAGCCTACCTCTCACGATTTTCTGTAATTATTCCATAATTTGTTTTTATGTCTCGATCAGTATAGAATATTACATCCCGCGCATCTTGGTGGTCACGGCCTGCTCGTCCAGATTGCTGAATTAGATCAGCTAAAAAAAAAAAAGGTTAGTTTATGTTTTAGCTTTCTGTTTTATAAATTCAATGATATTTACTAAGGCTCATCGGAAATGTATAATGTAATATCAATCTAATTTCCATGTCATTCACACCTAATCCAAAGGCTGGAGTTGCGATCATTACTCTGGTTTCACCACGCTTCCATTTTTTAATTGCTATATCCTTTTCTGATTCATCCATTTTTCCATGAAAGATACTAAAAACTATCTGGGAAAGCCTTTTTTGCATCTGTTCTCGTATCTCATTACAAAGTTTTATACTTGCGCAGTATATTATTATTTTACCATCAGCTACTTCACGAATTAGGTTTGCCATATCATCAAAAACAGTACCATTTGTGTCATGTCTCTGTCGAACCTCATACCGAATCTCTTTTCTTTCTTGATCATTGCTTCTAATAACAGCTAAATTGGCGTCTAATAGGTTTAAACTTTTTTTAATTGCTTGCATATCGTCATATGCGCATGTGGCGGTTAGCATTAATATAGGTGCGAGGGGATATTGTTCTTTTAGAATACTTAGTTTACTCCATGAATCTCTTTTTGTTGGTTCAGATTAGTTATAATTTTTAAATTACTAATTATTTATAATTAAGACTTTACCTGAAATGCGCAAAATCAAGCACACAATGAACCTCATCTACGACAAATTGTATTTTTCCAGCATCATATAGCCGTTTAAATAATCCGGTAATTGTCTTGTTAAGAATTAACTTTTCTGGAGTAATAAACAAAATTCGAGTCCAACCAAGTGCTATCTCATGAAAAATTTTTTCTTCACGAACTACAGTTTCATTTGATGATGTCCAAAGCCCGGCACAAGGAATTCCATAGTTGACTAATTCCATCTTGCAATTATAAGGTATCGCAAATATTAAACTATTAAATTTTTGATACTTTAATTATTAAATTTCATTAATACTTACTATTTGATCTTTAATCAATGCTGTTAGTGGGCTAAGAACTACAGTTAGACCATCGAATATAATAGCAGCTGCAGTATAACAGAAAGTTTTTCCGCCCCCGGTTTTCATAACTAAAAATGTATCCTTTTTATATTCACAATAATTTATAATTGTTTGTTGTTGATTTTCACGTAGACTTTCGAAATTAAATATTTTAGTAGCAATAAGCGATATAATATCACTTATTGACATTTGTGAGCATTTTAGATTTGGCTTTTTTTCTGATTCATCAAGAATACGATCTAACCAACCAAGAGCTATATAGGTCCAGCATAATTTACAGAATCCGGATGATGTATGTTTTTTAAATACGTGACACCCTTTACATCTAATATGGCTTTCAAAATCATGGATGAGAGATCCAAATGATGGATAAAAAGTGTGATTTCGCAGTCGTTCTTCTGCATGATACTTGTATGGAACCAACTCCTTACAAATAGATTTTATATTAGCATGAGTAAGTTTTTAATTATTTTATTTAATTTACCTGGTCAAAATTAAATCCGACTAACTCCTTTTTATCATTTGCATATTTTTCAGCCCGTGCTTTATTACGATTTACGATTGCCGCCCTATTTTGTGATTTTTGATTTTCTCGTTCATTATTTATTTTATTAATATTATATAAATCTTCCCTACTAAATTCAACAGGAGTATAGTTTTCACGAAGACTCTGCAAAACTGTCAAATAACCCTCGTTATAATGAAGAACAGCTAATGCGTGCCGGGTTTCATAAGAACTCCAATAATCTATTTTCTTGTCAAGGTAAACTAGTTTAACTCTATTAAAAGCCTCATTTGTTGAAGTTCTAATACCTGTGATCAATCCTTGGCCTCTAGGTACGCGAAAAATAGATTTCAACATAGCCCGAAAATTTTCAATATCAGTATCTGGCATTCTTTGAAGTGTAGGTGATGGCAAAGTGATCTCAGGATTATCGCGAATCCAGCATACTTCGGGCCAACAATTAGAATGATTACCACGTAAGTGATTTATGAGACCTTCAACTTGCATATCTTGTAATTCTTTTTCGGACGGACTAATTAATTCTGAATTTTTTTTTCGTGAGCCAGCTGCAAAAATACAACTAGTGAAATGTTTCATAATATGTTGCTCGTATGAGTGCCAACGAGAATTTATCTTTGATGCTAATTAAAAGTTAGTATTATTATTATTAAATTTCGAATATTAAAAAAACATAATATACTTAATGCTTTTCTAATATTCTTTGTGATATGTTTTAAGTCTGCAAAAATTTGATTGACTAGTGGAATATCCGCAAGAGTTTTATTTGTATCAAGGTCACCGTCAACGCATATATTAATTAAAAAATCTTGTTTTTCCAATATAGGAGTTATTTTGTTAACCAATTCATTAAGAATTGCATGCTCCATATACCGAGAGCTTTGATCATGATTTCCTTGAACGATAATGTGATCTTTTTCCGATTTTTTATTTTTATACAATCGAGTTTTTTGAACAGTTTGAAAGGCGATAATTGGTTTATAGTAATCTTTTTTTTTTTTATATATCGTATATATTTAAAAAATTTTTAGTAAATGCTACCTTATATAATTATATTTTTTAGATAATCAAAAAAATTTTTTTTTAAAATATTTTTTAACCTTTATATCTCTGGATAGAATTACAGCGAAACCCATAAGTGCACACCCTTGGAGCCAAAATTTAATAATGTGCACTTAGAGAACAATAAGTAAGGTCGAGGTCATTTATATATTTGGGTCGGAACTCGAGAGTGCATTTAGGAAGTGCGTGCACTTATAGAGTTTTAACTGTAATTATTTTTTTGACAGTGACTAATCTTACCTTCAAATTCCAAATGGCATATGAATTCGCCGCTTGCCTGTTTAGCATTTCTTCCATGTGACCACGATACATCAAAACTAATTGGAAGAATTTTTTTATGCTCATCTAACTCCGATTTAGTTGAATTAGCTTGTTCAGTAAGTGCTTGTTCAACATGATCTATACAGTTTATAATTGCATTATTTGTTGACGATTTTGCTAATTCAATTATTTTTGAAAATAATTGGTGTTGATGATTATGGTAAATTGCTTTGGAACATTGCGATGTAATACCGATGGTTGCCAAAAAACTTTGCACTGCATGCCGAGTAATTCCAGCTCCTAATCCGCCAGCAGCTACTGCTTTTGAGAAACAAATATCCTTTTTTTCATTCGAAATTTCTATGATAGTTTCGCATTCTTTACATCGTATAAAGCATTTAGCTTTAAAACCTATAACTATTAATTGGCAGTCTCGTTTTGAGATCAGATAGTTTCCACAATTATTGCAGGGTTTTTCAAGAACTAATGATAAGTATGTTTTTGTATCTACAAGTAATGTTGAGCCAAGCTTCCATTCTTCAATTAAATCATCGATAGTTGTACGTACTATTTCATCATGGGACGAATCTATATCTTGATCAGGTAAACTTGTTAATCTGGTAATTTTTTCTTTTAACCGTGTAATGGTTTTTTTGGCATTCTTTAACTCATTCTTAATTGTATTATATTCAACTATTAAGGCTTGAGTTTCCTGAGGCGTTAAGTATTTTCCGGACTTATTAAGAACTATTCCTTTTCTTATAGGAGTCTCTTCTGTTTCCATGACTGTTTTTAATTGGTATTTCATACGGGTAAGAGAGTTTTTTAAAGTCTTCTCGGTATTAAATGCTTTTATAGTTTGCGAATAGTGATTAAAAAGATTTGGATATTTTTGTGTTACTGTTTCTTGTAGAAACTGAATATTATTTTCATCCGAAAGTCCTAAATACCACAGCGAGGAACGATTGCCTGACCAATTATATTTACTAAAGCACATCTTAAAGCAAATATTATCTTGTCCGCTATCCTTTAATAATTTAAAGGTTTCATCTTTCTCATAAAAATACCATTGGTAAATTAGTTGATGGTTTGTATTTTTCATAATAGAAAGTTTAAAAAAATTATCATTAATTTTTGTATATACGGTATATCCAGGTAATAAAGGTACCCATATTGTTTCATCTTTTTTTGAAGGCTGATATGCGTAATATCCTGCAAGTTCGTTTGCATTAGGATTATTTTTATTAACTCGTGTTATAACTGGTGTAAGTACTTTATGAAGGTCTAAAACTTCTAGTTCATGTGAAATTTCACGGACGATTATGCTTTTATTATCTCTATGAATTATTGTTCGTCGAATATGTGTTTCATATTCTTCCGAAACAAGGTTATAATACCATTTATTCATTTTCTAAAAATATTAGTAATTTACACATTTAGAACATAAAAAACTTTATTTTGTTACGGGATTACTTATAACTTTATTTTATAAATATTACGCCAACCCAGTTTTTATATAAATATCATGTAAAATATAATAATTCAAAAGAATCACATCAACAATTTTAATTTTTAATAGTGCGTATAAGTTATTCTCTATTCTCTTTATTTGTAAAATTAAAAGAATGATACGGTCAACTCTATAATAAACCAATAGTTCGGGATATAAAAGTTCGCTATATGAAATTACTATGTTTTCTTACGAAATCATAACTTTCATTATGCTGAACTAATATAAAATTCAAAAATTTTTGGCAAATTTCGTTATGAAAAGGTTCGTTATAAAGAGAGTTGACCGTATTGGTGTATATATAAAATTATTGTTCTAGAATACTGATTTACATATTATCAGTGTTCTAGAATACCTAATAGAATAAATTTTATCACCCGCAAAATGTCTTTGTCACCCGCAAAATTCGTTAACTTAGTAAGTAAATTTTTAACATACCAAGCTTGTAAAAACGGGTTTTTTGGACTTGTTTTGATAAAACAAAGATTCGAAATTAGGTTTCGTGATGTTTTATAATTTTATATTTATTTTTGTGTAACTTACTCTTAGTGATTATGT